TCTGACACAGAGGGCGCCAAACCCATGAGATCGTAGACCCTTGTCCAAGAAAGGTTTTGTGTAGGGAGAGCCCCAAAGCATGACTATCTCATCGTCACTGTACACTAAAAATTCCATCTAGGAGTGTGTGCTTCCACAAAGGCAGACATGCCAGCGGTCGCCAAGGAGATGACCTCTTTGCTTTAAGAAACCAACTTCGAGGTCAGTGGTGCACAGGCTGGGTGTACAGATGAGTTGTACTGCGTGCAGGTGGAGTGCAGAGAGAACAGCCAAGCGTGTTCTGCAAGTGAGTGGGAGTGGGAAGAATGGGAAGAGCAAGACAAAGAGAATGCCTGCCTCTCCCACAGTGCATGTTCCCAGCACTTTGGCCGCTGCATTCAACAGTTGGGGAAACACTGGAAGCCATGGTTGCAAAGAGATTCCCCAAAAGCAGTGTGAGAAAGTGAGCCTTTTCAAGAAAGTTGTCCAAGCTGCTCTTACGTTAGGAACTTGGTTTCATGTAGTGCACAGGGGAGCACGAGGAATAGGGAATGCGTTGGAAGCACCCACATCAATAGGGTAAGGTGAGCGTGTGTCACATGCCATCCCCTGGGTCGGTCCTCCCATGAAACTTACACTCTGCAAGCCAGTTTAATGTTGTTTGAGAGCTGGGGCAGGGGGGGAGACACATTTTTGCTTCCAGTGCGGACAGAGTCCCAGAAAGCCTGCTGAAGTCACGTTCGAGTGTCTGGGGCAGAGGCAATGGTGAAAGCTGGAAACATTTTTGAATGCAGGAGAAGGAAGAAAAGATATGTGATATCCACTTTCCCGGGTCGGATTAAGCTATCAGTCCTCCTTCATGGGGTCTTGCATTCTGGAGCTGGGGATGGGAGCAGGTTGAGAAAAGTGCCCCCAGGTCATGGGTTTAATTTCCTATCTCTTTGGCCCTTACAGATCAGCCACTGAAAGGGAGCCAGTGCTAGGTCTCCACGGCTGGCCTCATCTGGTCTGTGGAAGGACGGTGTGTTTCACAGCAGTCAGAGGTCTACTGACAGGCAGCAGCTGGACGTGACAAGCGAGAGCTCCAGCTCCCAGGAGAAGACTCACCGCGACCCACGTGACACTGGGTGAGACTCCTCTCTGCTAAAGATCCACCTGCAACCATTCCCTAGTGACATCTGGGGGGTGCGCGGTGCTGTTCCCTGCTGCTCATGCTGCAGTCGTTTGTGTGATAATGGGATGTCACAGATTCAGGGTGGGTGGCAGAGGATTTTAAGCACCACACAGCACCTGCAGGTCTCAGCCAGGCCCAGTGTGGGCAGCAGGCCATTACCGAGTTGCAGGTGATTATGGGGGAAACTCTGCACTCTGTGTGCAAGCTCCTGAACATGGCTCTGTGCTGGTACCCCAGCGTCTGTGCTTAGGGGTTGGCCTCTGGCTTCCGGTGGTGGACAGGGCCGCATTGGCACCTCAGGAAGGAAAAGAAGGAAGCCTTCCCCTTGGTCGAAGCTTCAGGAGCCCTGAAGCCACACTGTGACCAATTAGGAAAAGGGAACCCGACACTTCAGCCACCCACCCAGTCGGGTGCTCTTCCGTGTGCCACTAAGATGAGTTTGGGGAGCACTGTGGTGTTTGGTCGCTACTCTGACACCTCCCCTCTCTTTTCCCAGAAACTTGCCCTCCCTCTGCCCCCTGTCTGAGACGCACTCCCCTTCCTTCCTACGGTAGCTCCCCTCGGCCTCATGGAGCAGGTGCTTCCACTTCCACATTATGATTGCGTTCTGATAGACTGCTTGGTTTCTTTCTCCGTGTTTGCAGTGTGCTCCACGATCATCCTGGACAGCTCGAGTCCAGGCCTCTCGGGAGGACTCGCGGGGAGGAGCACAGCCCCCACCTGCTGTGTACCCTTTGCAGTCCTTTGGCAAAGGAAATCGGGCCCAGAACAGCGGCGGCAACAGCAGCCAGACGCCGAGGCCGCTTCTGCATTCCTCTTGGTGTGAGGCACTCGAGTCGCAATGGTTGCCAAGTACATCCTGTGTGCCTGGCGGGGCCACTTATGGCCAGCAAAGGTTTTGTCCAGACGCGGCCCCTCAGCAAAAGCTAAGAGGAAGAGGGCGCTGTTACTAGCCGTTTCAGATCCCGGAGTCGATGAAAAAATCAGAGTGAAGAGAGCAGACGTGAAGGCCCTGACCACCTCTGACCTCGAAGCGGTCGCCTTCTCAGCTAGGACAATGCCGAAGGGCAGCATGCCACTGGGCCAGAAGAGGGGCTACAGAAGGCCCTGAGAGCGGCCTGGGAGATGCTACGCAAGAGAGAAAGCTGGGGCCAAGAACAAAAAGCAAAAGTGCCAAAGGCGCTAGCACCGCCCCAAAAGACCAGACAGAAGCCAGGCTGCCCACTGGCTCGTAAAGGCATAGGAAGCCGAGAAGGGCCCTGTGGACCAGGCGCAAGAAAAGTAAGAGGCCAGGACCGGAACCAGGGCCGATGCCTTCAGAGAGCGAGGATGCCTTCCTGCTGGGCGAGAAACTGCAGGGAGCCCATGAGCGCCGCCCCTCCTGCAGCCGCTGTGCAGACCGAGGCCCCCCACAGCTCCAGTGTGGGCCAGAAGGTCCCGACACTGGCGAGCCCGAGAAAGAGAAAGGCAAAAGAAAAGCCAAAGGGCAAGAGAGGAAAGGCAGGCACCTCGGCAGTCGCATGCCTGACCCCCACGGTCGTGGAGGAGGGTGCTGGTGCCACCCAGGACCAAGGGGTTCCATCTCAGCCCCTTGGGCTACCCCGCGCTGAGCCCAGGGCTGTGTACAGAGAGGCAGAGGACAGCTGCCCAACGACCCAGGCAACGTCCTCAGAGTGCTCCGTGTCCACTGAACGTACAGAGGACTCTGGAGAAGATACCTCAGAGGCAGTCTCACAAGCGGCTAGGGTGCCCTTCAAAGACCGTCTCCCAAAGCTGCAAATTGTCTTCCGTACACCAAAACGAAGAAAGAAGCTCCGGAAAGCAGCCCGTGACAAGGGGCCTCCCAAGAGCCGGGGAAGGACTGGCAAGAAAGGGGGAGAGGGACGGTCACAGGACTCTGACTCCCGGAGAAGCGCTCCAACAAAAAGCAAAAGGCTGGTTGACAAAGGACCAGCCAAGGTCCCTAGAAAGAGTGGCAGGAAGGAGGAAGAGGGACCAGCCACAAGCGACATGGCTCTCCAGGAGACGCGTGCCACCAAAAGCGAAGGCTGGATGACAGAACACGTCCCGAGATCCGTGGGACATACAAGAAAGGGGAAGAGGAGCCGTCCACCAGCTCTGCAGCTCCCCGGGCGACACCCCGCATCAAAAAAGGAAGGCCGCCCCGCAAACGACCACGAAAGATCCCTGGCAAGGCGGGCAGGAATGAGGAAGATGAGCTAGCCAGTATGTTTCATGCTCTCCACATGTCGCCCCCCACCGAAACGCGCAGCTGGTTAACAAACCACTCTCCAAGGTCCCTCGGAAGGGTGGCAGGAGAGCAGAGGAGGGAGCACCCACCACCCTCGTGACTCTCCAAGATACACAGCCCGCTGAAAGCCAAGGCTGGAAGACATAGAAACCACCCAGATCTCTGGGGAGCCCTACAGGAAGAAGAAGGCCCACATGCTAGCATCGTGACTCACCAGGAGCCGCCCCCCACCGAAAAGCTAAGGCTGGCTGACGAAGGACTGCCAAGGTCCACGAGAAGTCTGACAGGAAAGGGGAAGGAGGGAGCACCCAGCAGCTTCGGGGCTCCCCAGGAGATGGACTCCATTGAAAAGGCAAGGCTGGTTGACAAAGAACCGCCAGTATCCATTGCAAAAACTGACAGTAAAGGGGAAGAGGAGCCATCCACAAGCTTTGCAGCTTCCCAGGAGACACCCCCCCATCGGACACGGGAAGGCTCGATGACAAAGAAATGTCCGGGTCCCTCAGAAGGGTTACAGGGAAGAGGAAGAGCAACCAGCCATTCGCATCATGACTCTTCAAGATACACAGTCCACCGAAATGGAAGGCTGTTTGACAAAGGACCTAACCAGGTGCCTGAGAAACCTGACAAGAAACAGGAAGAGGGACCAGCCACAAGTACCATCGCTATCCAAGGGACACTTCCCACCCAAAAGCAAAGGTTGGAGGACAAAGTACTTCCCAAGATCCATTGGACTTACAAGAAAGGGGGAGAGGAGCCATCCACCAGCTTTCCAGCTCCCCAGGAAATGCCCCTACTTGAAACAGGAAGGCTGGAGGACAGACAACTTTGCAAGATCCCTGGCCAGGCTGCCCGGAATGAGGACGACAAACTATCCACTATGCTCATGACTCTCCACCTCTCGCCCCCCACCGAAATGCAACGGCTGCTTGACAAACCACTGTCCAATGTCCCCAGGAGCGTGGCAGGAAAGCAGGAGAGGGACAAGCCACTATCTTCATGACTCCTCAGGAATTACCCCCCACCGAAAAACAAGGTGGGTTGACAAAGGAATTTCCAAGACCTACAGTACCTACAAGAAATGGGAAGAGGAACCATCCACCAGCTGTGCAGCTCCTCAGGAGAAGCCCCTTATTGAAACAGAAATGCTGGACAACAAACGACAGAAGGGAAGCCTGGTTGACCAAGGACAGCCCAAGATCCATTCTAAGACTGACAGTAAAGGGGACGAGGGATCTTCCACGTGTTTTATGGCTCCCCAGGAGAAGTCCCTCATCAAAACGGAAGGGTGGTTGACAAAGGACCACCCGGGATCCCTGGAAGGCTGCCAAGAATGAAAAAGAGGGACCAGCCACTTTGAAACTCTTCAGAACTCCCAGGATTTGCCTGCCACCAAAAAGCAAATGCCGCTTGACAAACCACTGTCTGAGATCCCTCAGAAGGGTGGCAGCAAAGGGAAGGGGGACCAGCCACTAGCATCGTGACTCTCCAAGATACATGCCCCACTGAAAAGCAAAAGCTGGAGGACAAAGGATCACCCCAAACATCCCTCAGAAACCTGGCAAGAAACAAGAAGATGGAGCAGCCACAAATGTCATGGCTCTCCAAGAGACATGCCCCACCGAAAAGCATAGGCTGGTTGACAAAGGACTTCCCAAGATCCATTGGACTTACAAGAAACGGGAAGAGGGACCACCCACCAGCTTTGCAGCTCTCCTGGAGAAGCCCCTCATGGAAACACAAAGGGTGGACAAAAAAGGACCACCCAGTATTCCTGGGGAGACTGGCAGGAAAGACGAAAAGGGACCAGCCACCATCGTTGTGGCTGCCCAGCAGTTGCTCTCCACCAAAAAGCACGGCTGGTTGACAGACCACTGCCTAATATCCCTCATAAGGGTGCCAGGAAAGAGGAAGAGGGGACTAGGCACTAGCATCGTGGCTCTCCAAGATCCACAGCCCACCCAAAAGCAAAGGCTGGTTGACAAAGGACTCCGCAAGAAACCTCAGAAGGCTGGGAAGAAAAAGGAAGAAGGACCAGCTACTAGCACGGTGACTCTCCAGGAGCCATACATTTCTGAGAAGCAAAGGGTGGTGGAAAAATTATTTCCAAAGATCTGCTGGAAGTCCGATGAGGAAGCAGGAGAGGGAGCATCCACCAGGCTTGCAGCTCCCCAGCAGTCGCCCCTCACTTGAAACGGGAGGTCTGATTGATAAAGGACCACCCAAGGTCCCTGGGATGAGTGACAGGAAAGAGGAAGAGGGACCAACCACTAGCACTGTGACTCTCCAGGAGTCACACATCGCTGAAAAGCAAAGGTTGGTTGAAAAATTATTTCCCAAGCTCTACTGGAAGTCCGACGGGGAAGCAGGAGAGGGGCCATCCCCCAGCTTTGCGGCTCCCCAGGATGTGTCTCCTGCCAAAAAGAGAAGGCTGGTTGAGAAAGGACTGTCCAAGAAGTCTGGCAGGAATGGGGGAGAGGGACCATCCACCAGCCTGCGGCTCTCCAGGATTCGCCCCCCGCCAACAAGCAAAGGCTGGTGACAGAGAATCGCCCAAGACCCCTAAGAAGGCTATCAGGAAGGGAGAAAAGGGACCAGCCACACCGAGCCCATCGGAAAGGGAGCGCTGGTGTGGTTTAAATTTCAGGAGCACCCGTACTGGCCGGCAGTGGTCAAGAGTGTCAGTGAGACAGACAAGACGGCCAGGGTGCTCCTGATTGAGGCCAGCCTGTGTCCAGAAAAGCGCGGCATTCGAGTTCCTCTTGCAAGACTGAAGCACCTGGACTGTGCAGGGAAGGACAAGTTCCTGAAGACAGCCCGGAAGGCGTACCCGGAGGGTGTGAACTGGGTCTTCTCCCTGATCACCCATTACCGAAAACAACTCGGCCGGGGCTCTTTCGTGGGCTCTTTCCTGAACTATTACGCCGCCGATGTCAGCTACCGTATCAGGAGAGTCATCCAAGACAGCGAACTGGACATCACCTTCCCCAAAGTGGACTACACCGAACTGGAAGCCCTGGAAGATTCTGAGGAGACCGCCCTGCAGGGGATGCCATCCCACAAGAAAATTCTCCCCGACCGCTCGAAGGCCGCGTGGGACCGAGACAACCAGAAGCTGGTGAATTTCATCGTGAAGAAGAAGGGGGCCGACGGCCACCTCCTGGCCATCCTGAAGGGCAAGAAGCAGTCCAGGTGGCTAAGGTCATTTCTGAATTCCCACCAGTACGTGGTGTGCGTCGAGACATACCTGGAGGACGAGGACCAGTTGGAACTCGTGACGAAACATCTACAACAAGTCTACGAGCATATAGACCAGAGGTTGCAGGCTCTGGTCAGAGACAAAGTCAAATTCGTGCTGGAAGTCCTCCTGCCAGAAGCAATCATTTGTTCCATTGCTGCCTCGATGGCCTAGAGTACAAGGACGCAGAAAAGAAATACCTGCAAGGGCCGCCCGTGCATTACCGCGAGAAGGAACTGTTTGACAAAAACAGCTTAAAGAGAGTGAGAAGGAGGCTAGCCTCCACGTGTGCTGCGAGCAGTTCTCTGGGCGCGCCTGGCCCTCAGCACGCAGCCTCCTCGTCATCTCAGTAATCAGGGTGGAGCGCCACGTGGGCCCCTGCTCTACCGCAGGTGGACAACATGTGCAGCTGCTTTTGGATCCACCTCTAGCACTTGTGGGGCGCCACAACTCATCCACCTTTGTCCTCCACACGCCCTTCACAAGCCCCTCTGCACGCATTTGCCTTGCCGTCCATGCTCGCACGGACAGACTCATCCAGACATTTCCAAAGAAAAGGCCACGATTGTTCCCAGCATGTCTCTCTGACTGCAAGCAGCATTTCCGGAGAGGATGCATACTCTGATGTACACCGCAAAGCACTGAAACCGTCCGGGACGCAACCACCATCTTTCAGGACCCTCGTGCACCTTCTCACAGAAACATCACCTGCGTTTCTCTTGGCGTTAGGCCTAACGCTGAAATGAACGAGTGGGTTCCTTCCCAAGGTAATTCCCGAGGTTTCCCTGCCGTGCCTCTTTATGCTTGCTGTTTCTTTGATTTTTAGAAAATAGCCCTAAGAGCTGAAACTAATGACACAAACGCCTTCCCGCATCTCAGCCCTGCCCCTCTGCTACCTTTTCCCGAGGGCAATGCCGAGTGGCAGACAGAAAGCCCATCGGGCCACCGGCACGCTGTCACGTGTGAGGGAATACATCTCGGCGGGCAGGAAGCACTCCACCGCCTCCGCAGGATGGCTCACTGGGCTTACCCGAAATCCTGCCCATGTGGTAGCTCTTCTTCCACAAGCTGAAGCGTGTCCCGAGGCACACATGGTTCTCGGCTGACCTCGCGACTGGGGGCGGCTGGACCCTCTTCCTACAGCTGCCTGTCCCGGAGGATGGCGGCCCAGAACCTCCCGGTCACAGGCCCGCCTCTCCACACCTTTGAGTAGCGCCTGGCTGCCCAGGCGTGCCCTACTCTGCTGGAAATTGCCGGAATCCCAGCACCTTGATCCGATCCCGGACCGATCCCCACCCTGGAATCCTCTGCCTGCCACCAACCCAGCTTTACCTCCCAGCTGACTCATTTAGCCAGCCCGACAGCTTCCCACGGTACGAAGGCAGACCACCGAGTCATACCAGGCTGCTCGAGCAGGGGACAGCTGTGGCTTTTCACCTAAATGCCACCCTTGTTGGGACGTCATGAAGCACGCGCAATTGAAAGGGACATTCCACACCCCGTGGGTTCTTAGACTAACTTAAGCCAAGGCGTTTTGACAGCAAATGTCAGAAAAGCTGGTTTGTTTCGAAAACTTGGTGCGGAAACCAACATGAAGGACTTAAGTTGAACTTTACTGTGTTGCTGTGTGTAGTTCTTACAGGGAGCCAGCTGTTCTCATGGAGACTGGTATCCATTCACGTGACGGTGTGGTATTGTCAGATTTGCAGAGTGTCTGTTTGCAACCACAATGAAATCCTTTTGTGTCTAACCTAATATATGCTCCCTTGTGCTTTAGATTGTACAACATAGATGTAGTGTTTGTGAAAAACTCACATGCACACACACCCAAAGAAAGTATAGTTTGGAACCATAATGGTTGCTGTTGTCATGTTTTGACTGCCCGTTCTGAATTTTCTCCTCATTCTAAATCAGTTTTCTTTCATGCTTCGTTTTGGAAGAGCTCCTTCTAAGCTGTATCAGGCCGACTAGGGAATGTGCAGTGTGGCAGACAAATCACATCCACTGCCACAAGTCCTGGTATCCATCTTTAGAATCTGTGCATGTTACTTCACAGAGCTGTGGGGATCTTCCAGATGTATTTAAAGACCTTGAGATGGAGCGGTTACCTTTGGTTATCCAAGTGGACCCAAAGTAGTCTCGAAGATCCTTACATAGGAAGGTATAGATCAGAGTAATAGAAGCTGTGCTGATGAAAGCAGAGTCAGAGACTTGAAGATGCTTATACTACTGACTTAGTCATAAAGACACAAAAATGGTCTGCAGGCCAAAAAGTGCAGGTAGACTGTGGAAGTTGCAAAAAACAAGGGGATGTTTTTTTTCTAGAGCCTCCAGAAAGAACATGACTCTGTTGACACTTGGATTTTAGTGAGAACTTTCCCAGACTCTGACCCCTGGAATGGTTGGAGAAACAATTTGGTATTACTAGGACACTACATTTGTGGTAATTTGTTATGGCAGCCTTAAGAAGCTAATACAACTGAAAAATGTACAGTTTCATTGCTAGGGATAGCTGTGTTCTGGAAGCTTGGGTGCTGATAACGGCGTTCTAATGCCGGGGTGTTGTAGGAGGACTCACAGGCACTGGAAAGAGGTCTGGCGCTGACATGGGCCAGCATAGAGTGTGAACCAGCTTCCCAAGAACAAAGCAAGAGTCCACAGACTAGGCTTGTTTTTTCAAATATTTACTTATTTTTTTGAAAGGCTGAGTTACAGACAGAAAGAGAGAGAGGGAGAGAGAGAGAGGGAGGGAGAGAGAGAGAGAGAGGCAGAGAGAGATCTTCCATGCACTAGTTCACTCCCCTAAATGGCCGCAGTCTCTGGAATTGGGCCGATCAGGAGCAAGGAGCCGCTCCGGGTCTCCCAAGTGGGTGCGGAGACCCACATACATGGACCACCTTCTGCTTCCTTCCCAGGGGTACCAGTGGAGAGCTGGATCAGAAGTGGAGCATCTGGGACTCAAACTGCACCCACATGGGGTGTCAGCACCGCATGTGGTGGGCTTATCCACTACTCTACCTCACCGGCCCCAACTGGGTTATTTCTGAACTAAGTTCAAATCCAAGCTCCACCACTTAGTATCCATTTGACCTGGCAAGTTGTGACACCTCTCTGAATACGCTTTCCTTCTCTGTAAAGTGGGAATGTTGGTACCTTCTAAGGTGGTCATTAGGATGAATAATCAAAATAATCACATATCTTTGGCGTAGTACCTAGCACATAAAACTGACAGAAGAGCAAACATACTGATTGTTATCCCCCTGGAATTGAGATGAGGAGCCCCAGGCTGAATAGGTCCCCTCTCCTTCCCCAGATCAGATGCAGAATGAGCTCCGAGTACATGCCTTGGTGGTGTAGGCAGGAAATATGTTTGGAGTAAGTGGCTGCAGCTTGGGGACAGCAAATCTGGACGGGGGGGGAGGAGGCAGTTGTCCATCAGTCATGTTCTTCACAGCCCTGCAAATGGAGGGGAGCATCAGACTGAGACTTCATGTTAGCCAAGGCACCCATCTCTCTCCTTAACATCGCCGTTTATGCAGGTATTTGGTGCTGAAGCTCCTCTGCCATGTTGAGATTAGAGTGGATTTAGAGATTTCTGGAGCAGCCACAGCAAGTCCAGGGAATAGGTGTTCCCTTCTCTGTCTGACCCAAGAGTCCAGGGAGGCCTGCACAAACGTGCAGCTCTCCTCACAGGAACTTGAAGCAAAGTCTCCGTTGCTGGGGCATGGCTATAAACTCTGTTGGTCTAATCATGCAATCCAGATTGAAATGCAAAATTGCAGTACTAGATGATTAGATGGGTTCAGAGTCTGTTAACTCACGTCACCATAGGTCCTGGGATTGTCAGTACTATGCCCCTTCAAGGTCATTAGTGGACAGATTCCTCTCATTCTTCTGCTACCTAACTCAGTGACCCCCTGTGTCCTTGCTTCCTTCATGATGACAGGATGACTACTGTAGTCCTTTTGACACATACATCTGACAATGTCTGTATGATGAAGGAGGAACAAGAACCCTTCCACCAACACATGCCCCCATGTCTCACATTCCAGGCCTTTTATGGAGGCCAAAAAGAACACGCACATAATATATAAGACCATATTGGCCCTGAAAAATTGCAACTGCTTTTTTTATAGGTAACTTATCTAAGTCAGACGGCTAATAAAGTCCTTTTTATTCTGAAGATGTATTTATTTGAAAGGCAGAGTCAGAGAGGGAGGGAGGGAGGGAGGGAGGGAGGCAGAGAGAGAGAGAGAGAGAGAGGGAGAGAATGATATATTCCATCTGAATGGCTACAATGGCTGGGACTGGTCCACGCTGAAGCCAGGAGCCCAGAGCTTCTGGGTCACCCACATGGGTGGCAGGGTCCCAAGTACTCAAGCCATCCCCCACTGCTTTTCCAGCCACATTAGCAGGGAGCTGGATCAGAAGTGTAACAGCTTGGATGCGAAAGTGGCACTCATGGGATGCCAGTGTCACAAGTGGTGACTTATCCCACTGCATCAGAACGCTGGACCCCCTATTGTACTTTATATAACGGTTCAAACCAGTCAGTGTTGTGGTACAGCAGGTTAACCACTGCTTGCAATGCCTGCATCCCCATATGAGTGCCAATTTGAACCCTGGTTGCTCTGATTCCAATCCAGCTCCCTGATAATATACCTGGGAAAGCAGCAGTTGATGGCCCAGGTGCTTGGGCCCCTGCCACCATATGGGAGACCAGGATGGAGTTTCAGGGTCCTGGCTTCAGCCTGGGCCAGGCCCAGCTGTTGTAACTGTTTGGGTAGTGAAGCAGCAGATGGAAGATGTCTTTCTCTCTTTCTCCATTTCTCTCTCTCCCTCCCTTTCTCCCTCTCTCTCTCTCTCTCCTCCTCTCTTTCTCTCTGCCTCTCTCTCTCCCCTCCCTCCCTCCCTCCCTTCCCCCTTAGTGTGAATATCTATTGATGCTAAATCTGGCTTGAAGATTTAAGTGGAGAATGATAACATTCACAGGACTTTCTCTAGCGTGTGTCTTCTGGCGCTGTATCAGGGACGTATTCTGGCTAAAGCCTTTCTCATATTTCCTACATTGATGGGATTTCTCCCTGGTGTGTGTTCCAGACGTTTGTTCAGGTGTGAGCTCTGGCTGAAGGCTTTTCCGCATGCTTTACGTCTGTGAGGTTTCTCTCCAATGTGAATTTCCTGATGTTCAAGAAGATGTGTACTTCAGCTAAAGGCCTTCCCTCACACTTTGCATTCATTCATTCAGCTTTTCCCCCGTGTGTGTTCCCTGATGCTGAATAAGCCCCGAGGGACCACTACAGACTTTCCCGCACTCGCCTCACTTACGTGGTTTCTCTCCTTTATGAACAAA